ACAAGCCCAAAAACTTCTACACTGTGCTAATAGAAGCCTCTAATCTCGAATATGAAATTTTCACTATGCTGTAATGCTTCTTTCCAAGGTTATCCCAGGTAAACAGCAATAACTGAATCTCTAGCATTTGTCCGAAATGTGACTACACCGTCAAAAAAGCAAAAACACTCGTAAAAGGTTGTGCAATGGAATCAGCGTGCAAGAAAACCCTAGTACACGATTTTTCAGATTTTTTGAAAAAACTTTTGTTAAATGGCATATTTCACAATAACCCCACATGCTAGAAGCTCATACCGTAATCCTACAGTAGCGAACAGCAATCGGTGATCCGCTCCATGCTACAAATCTAAGTTCAACGTCGCTCTGCAGAATGTTGCCTCAAGCTCGGCGAAAGACTTGAAAGCAACGGAGCTATCAACAATCAAATAGCGTTCACATTCTTTTGGGACACCCTGTATACTATTAGGTTGTCCGGAAATTAATGCCCGTTTTAAATTTTAACCGCAATAATTCATGCACTTTTTACTTCTAAATAGGTTGCAAAGTAACATTGGATGAAGCAAAGCAAGCTCTGCAAGAGGGCCATCTTGCTTTGCAACAGCTCTCATCCACTTCGAGCTTTGAGCCAAAAACTAAAAAGACTCAGCAGCCCGAAAAATTGAAAAAATCGAAACTCAGTTCATAAAAAATCCTACGAAAATTCTTACTAGCTCACGTAAACACTATCTACATAAAACATCTACATACGCCTTTGCCGTATTTTTTCTTCCGTTAGGAATCAAGAAAACGGAAATTTTCGTGCATTTGCCAAAGTGATTTTGTGAAGTTCCCACATAGGTAATTGTATACCACAAGCCTGTAGAAGTACAGACTTGAATTTTCAGCTCTCTACAAGCTTTAGTTCTCGAAAAATACCCATAGCTTTTCCTAGTTAGCTGGCCCAAGCTAGAATTCAAATTTCTCAAGGACTAAAGCTTGTAGAGAGCTGAAAATTTACGTTTGTACTTCTACAGGTTTGTAGTAGTACAGAACTACCTATGTGGAAACTGCACAACACCACTTTGGCAATGCACGAAAATTTCCGATTTCTTGATTTCTAAGAGAGAAAAAAATACGGCAACGGCGTATATAGATGTTTTATGTGGATAGTGTTTACGTGAGCAAGTTGAATTTTTGTAGGATTTTTATGATGAGTAATGATTTTCTTCAATTTTTTTGGGCAGTTGAGTCCTTTTAGTCTTTGGCTCGAAACTTGCCGTAGATCAGAGCTGTTCCTAAATCAAAGCCGCCATCTTGTGGAGCTTGCTTTGCTCTATCGAATGATACTTTGCAACCTATTTAGATATAAGAAGTTCATGACTTATTGCGGTTGAAATTAAAAACGGGCATTAATTTCCGGACAACCTAATATATTATAGAGAATGTAACATGTACTTTCTTTCCCTCATTCAATATGCCCATAGAGAAGTATGGTGAGAATACTTACGGATGGGTTATAGGCGTGAATTCCAGATATCTGGAGCTTCAAGATATGAAGTTTCCTTTGAAAATGAAATCCCCTCCCAACCGGGATTTTAATGCATGCGGCCCTAAGTCGTCGTTGCATCATATGTAATTTTTTTCAAATAATCACAGTGCCAATCACTGACATAGGAATTTTCAAAAAATCACAGTGCCAATCACTGACATAGGAATGTTGAAATCATTGAAAGAAGTGAGGAATAGCACTATTGCACTACAAGTAAACACATGATTTTCATATAGTGTTTGGTAGGTACACACCGTTTGATCGCTAATTTTTCCTCTTCCCGCAAACTCTCTTGTCAACCTTCAGGCACCATTCCGTACTGCTGGCTTACATATGAAGTTCTCCCTTAATGTAGGTTAGCTCATTTGCGGACCTATTAGGTTGTCCCGGAAGTGGTGTCGCGTCCGTATTGTCGGACGCCGAATCCTGCAGAAATTCACGATTTCAAGAAGATTCAAACCTTGTAATTTTTTCTGATACCGACTCATCAAAGACCTTCAAGAAACATGTTAACAGCTACATGGCGAGAGTCCTCTCACACGTTTCATTGAGGCTCATCAATTTGGCAAATCATTTCTTCAACGGCACTGACAATTCCTTTCAGATCAGTACGGGGTGACTGAACTTGGATGATCAATCTTTGTTTTGAAGCGCGCAATTCTGTTGTCCAACTCACTCTGATCAATATTATATGCCTTCAAAAGGTTTTTTGAATAATAGATAGCCATGGACTAATATGGTTTGGAAAGAAGGTTTGGAAAGAACAGGATTTTTCGGAAAGATTTTCATGAATCGAAAAATAACCCGAAAGCTCGAAGAACGGGTCTTGCAGGTGGTGCACGCGAACAGTGACGCGAAGAGGTTTTCATCATGAAAGGACTGTGTGAAATTACAAGTTTTTGTCTTCATTCAATAGACAGAAATTTTTTATAAGATGCAATTGATAATGGATTCTCTCTTGGCTAAATCTGGGGCAAAAGAATGTAAAGAAGAAGGATGTTAAAAACATGGCATGAATTAGATCAAAATGGACTTTTTGCAGCCCGTTACACTTCATGTGGATTGTCTTGTTTACTTTAGGGTTTGCTTTATCTGCACGCACAAAATTTCCAAAAATGGCTGAATCTAGGCGTGGTGACGGTAGCCAGTTAAAAACGGCAAATTTTTTGTGAGTGCTCGAAGTCCAACTTGAAAATACTAAACGTGAAAGAAAGAAAAGTTGCGTCGGCGGAGGCTCAACTACTCCACTCGAAGGCGCTTGATTCAAAGATTCGCCGTTTTTTTGGGGGGACGACTCAATAAACGAAACGTTACTGGAGCTGTAATCAAGACAAATTCAAATGCAAGGTTCGTACGCTTTAGGCCTCCTCGGGCAGAGTTCACGCGATTTGATCGTCGCGACTGAATCGCGACGAGACAACTTTACAACATCATTCCATGCCGATCAACTTGCATTCGGTGTGATACTTTTCCGAAATTTTTGAATGTGAAATGAAAATGAATGGAAATCTTGGCAATTAGATCGCGACGATTAAGTCGCGTGAAGTCTGCCCGGGGCCTTAGGCCTCGGGCAGAGTTCACGCGATTTGATCGTCGCAATTCAACCGCTACAAGACAACTGTTACGAGTTCATTGCATGCCGATCAGCTTGCATTTCGGTTGTGATACTTTTCCAGTTCGAAATTTTTGAATGTAAAATGAAAATGAATGAAAATCGCGGCGATTAAATCGCGACGATCAAATCGCGTGAACTCTGTCCGAGGCCTTATACACTTCACAGTCTTACTAAACTTGTCGAGGCCGCGTCAGAATTTCCTTTATGCATGAACTGGACAAATTTTAAAGAATGTAAATGCCGGTGTACTGTTTTGTTCTTCCGCACTAACTGACGGCAGGAATAAAACTGAGCGATATCACGGTTAGCAATAAGTTTAACTATTGGGTCGTTCCGGATGTGATGTCCTTTTTTCAAAGAAAACCCACATCTCGTAAAACAAAGTTTTCCGAGATATTCTGGCAGTATGCGATACCCTATTTCACCTCCTTCTAATAATCATAAAATCAACACAGCAATATCAATGAGCTCTTGAAAAATTTCCATCTGCCACCCATGCATTTTGACAAGTTCCATTATTTCTCTGAATTTTCATACAAAACTTCCGAAGAAGTCCAAACAGCGGATGGATAGGGCAGACCAAACAAAAAATAAAACAATTTTTTCTCCTTTTTTATAGCTTGTTGCAAGTTTGTGATACAATATTACTGGTGTTTGACTGACTTAGAAACTACCGAATTTTAGAAGGTCTATCTCGAGCACAAACGAGTCAAACACCACTAAATCATCCGAATTTAAACTTTCAAAAATAAACTATGTTTTAGCACTTACTAACAGAGCAAATAAGGGTTTCCAGACACGAAAAATCGAATTTTAAAATTTTTAAGGTTTGGGGTATTTCAAAAACATAAATTTTGATTATTTAAGTACCGAGCACTCTGTAATTGGGGAGAAAAGACACCGTGAGAAAGAGAAGAGACAATTGCATCGAATGACATCTGAGTTGGTCATCGTTTGGTATTCTGTGAGGTTTGAGTCGAGCAAATATGAAATTTGATAGCATCAAAGAAATGGTTTTAGTAGTGAGAAGCAAGCTATAAAAGGGGAAAAAGTGGTTTTCGTCTTACAATGTCCTTACAGTGTTTTGATGTTCCGAGAGCTCATTGACTATGCTACAGTGTATCCATAAACAATAGAAAGAGGATGAAAAGCTGCATTGCTGCAAGATCTCCTAGAAATCTTTGTTCCACAAATTGTGGCGTTTATTTGAAAGAGACATCACTTTCGGAACCACCTATTAATTTCATCTTCTGTGCATGTAGCGAATCCCATGTGCAGCTGGGTCGGAAAACAGCTTCATCTGATGTAAACCTTGTGTCAATATTTTTATCTATTGCTAAGAGTTGGCAGCAGAAGAAGACTTTAAAAAAATTTATTTCTCTGAGATCACCTCCTATCGACAAATCGGTCACACTTCGTCTTCTGAGAAAGTTATGGAATATGGCTGTTTTTACTGGTTATGCTTTGAAAAATGCAGCTTCTTTGATAACATATGGCCGTGCGCAAAGTATGAACTCCAAAGTGTAATCAACAAAGCCGTCTGGAAAAATTTTCGCAACTAATCGAGATCGATTGTTTACAAAGATACAGTTCTCATTTTGATATCAAAACAGCTCAAATTAAGTAACTTATGTCAAACAACAAGGCTCAAGTTGCTGAAGCAGCGCCCGCACAAGTCGGGCAACTCTGAACGGAATCTAGGTAAGGAACTTAGGTCGTTATTCACCAGTAACCACAGAACCTGTGCTAGTGAACATGACACTTTCATACACAAGGCTGCTGGCGGTCGTGAGTTTGCTTTAAATAAGTTTGTTAAAATACCTGTACATATGTTTCGTTTAGAAGGAACCCAGTCAGATGGTGGACATGGCTTTTGAATACTATTTGGCAAGTCTCTTGTTTCTTGCAGTCAATAGCACTACGAAGAAAATGGTTGAAAATTTGCAGTCTTGGAACGATGTAAGGCTCGCATGGAATTCATCCCATTTTGATGGAATCGAAGGATTCTTGATCAATAAAAAACTTATCTGGATAGTTGATTTATTACCATGGGACAGGTTGTTACATTCGTATCTGCTGTGCTGCCTTTATTTTAACACATTTAGCAGTTCTATGACAGACTTAAGAGAACCCGATGTACAACACGCTTACGTAAGTCAAGATTTATAGTTTCTTGAGTGCTCTAAAAACTGTGAATTTAGGTGAATAGCAACGGTAACATAGAACTTTTTGCTGTTAGGGTAATTTCATTCTCCTGTGACCTGAACGTAAGAATATTTATTTGGCTTTTGATATGCACCTAAGAAAAGTGAAGACTCAAAAGCGAAGACGTTTGCTGCAGGTCAAACAATTTCCGCTTGAAAAGCAAGAGTGTAACGTTACTTTCGGGTCCGAGCCCTATAAGTTGGAAGAACTTCACCTACATCCCAAATTGGCGGAGGACTTCTTTCATGAGTTCGTAAGTGCTGCCACCGATACCGTTTATTCAATTATTGTAGTGAACACTAACGTGCATCAAAAAGTCGCAAAGTAGTCCAGATTAGCTCTGCATGTGCATTTCAATGCCTGCGTCATCGTTCATCATGCAAACGCAGCCAAATGTTTTTGGAGGGTTCGTAAGCTAGGTAATACAAGTTTGGAGTGCCATCGTCATGTCGGGCTGGGCACGAGGTAACTCTGGTAACTTCCCAGAGAAGTCTCCGTTGATTGCGCAACAAAAATACAATATTCCCTAATACAGGCTCAAGAATGAATCAAACATGTGTCACAATGAAGAGCAGAATACAAAGACAACATTGAGACGGTAAAAAAAACTATTGATGTTCGTAATCTCCGAATAGGCGGCATGCTGTGCCCTCGCGCACCACTGGGCGCTTCGAGCACGATCAAGACTGATTTGAAATTTTTGGACGTAATTAAGCGCCAGACCTCGCGGCGTACTCGAGGTACGCTGCGCAGTCTGAGGCAACCTAAGCGGAAAGGAGGAGGTTTGAGACAGAAAGAACTCGTTTGTAAGGCTGCGGATGTTGATTAGAGTTAGAAAAGTTGAACAATCTGAAGAAGAAATTCATGACTCCACCTCAAGTAGCTCTCTGATGTCCATCACTTTCGTGTGCTACACAATGCTACCCTATCCATCAGTCATTTATTTCGCGATCAACGAATAGGGCAAAAATCAAAAACTCTCCATGAATAGATGAGAAGAAACTGTGATAGTGTGTCGTTCCCGCACTGGCATTAGACGATTGTTTTACTTCAATTCAGTCCCAGGTGGATGAATGTTGTAGGGTATTTCTCAACAACCGCAACAAATTCCAAGAGCGCGGTACAATCTTATATATAAGGATGAATGTTTGTTTCTGTTTGTATGTTCCGTATAGAATTCTACTTTTGAACCGATCCAAACCAGACTTTGCATACATACGTTTCGCTGCGGGGCGGGTGTCGTAGCTATTTTTTGCTATCAATCTATATCGACTTCATCGATTTTTGCAAAGTTTGTGCCACGGGGCTAGGAGTTGACACAGGGGGTAAGTGAGCACGCTAAACGAATATAATAGTGACAGATTCGGGCGGAGCCGGGTCATTTCCAGGGTGCGGAGATGTCTGGCAAAGCTAGATAAAGCGCGGTCTATATGAGCCACCAAAATTCAAGAAAATGGCTAAAATCACCATGCATAGTCTATCAACGTCGAAGCTCACAAGTTTTTTCCAGCCTGATAATGAATGGAGGGTCGTTGACGTCACAGCTGCAGAAAATCAAGCAGACACGGTACCCTCGGTAGGAAAATCTCTCAACATTTCCACGTTTTCAACACAGGCGCTGATTACTTAGGCAACTTTCACGATCCATTTGCGACGAGGCTCGGCATTTCACATTGTTCTAATAGTGATACCATCCCTTGTGCTTACGTTACTCTGTGTGCTTGGAATGTTTTGGTCCAAATTCGATTGTACTAACTACCTTGAAAAGGTGAGTTCTGTTTGTGTTATGAGATCTGAGTTATAATAAGATTTCTAAAAATCGTGGAAGCATTTAGCTTGCACTCGGATTTGCAGCCATACTTGCAACGTGCACTATTCTTCAAATCGTAGAAACATCTGTTCCCAAAACCAGCCAGTTGCCCTCGCTTAGTGAGTCAGGAGCTTCTAACATTGTCCCCAAACTGAAACTATTATTGCATTGCAGCGATATACATTGTGATAAACCTGCTGCTGGAGACTGTGGCGATATCGACTGTTGTGATTGCTTCCAAGATTCGTTCGCCATTAGAGCTCGCCATCTCTAGTGCCAAAATAAAGGAGTTAGTTTTCCATCAAAAAATCTGTTGCATTATTACTTGTACTTGTTATAGCCGACTTCGTCGTTTCGCTTTCAGCTGGTGTAAGAGACTTCGGGTGTTTTGCTTAGTTGTATTCCCTCTGGCAGCAGTCATCAATCTACTAACATTACTGTTCATGGATGTATGACTTGATTGCAAGTCTAAGGCCCCGGACAGACTTCACGCGATTTGATCGTCGCGACGCAATCGCGGACAATTCCATTCATTTTCATTTCACATTCAAAAATTTCGGGCTGGAAAAGTATCACAACCGAAATGCAAGTTGATCGGCATGGAATGATGTTGTAACAGTTGTCTCGTCGCGATTCAGTCGCGACGATCAAATTGCGTGAAGTCTCTCCGGGGCCTAAGACGCTGATTCTTCCAGACAGTTACTTACTGTCTATTTCACTAATGCCAATCCTTTTTATACACACATAGAACTGTTGAGGTGTTCAACTCGTGAGCATTGTTAAACCTTAATCAAACAATGTATCAAGCTCTTATTCGCTTTTATAAATGTGGTGAAGTGTCGAAGGCAATCATGAGCTAACTTGCTGTTAAAATGAAGCTATTTCTAGAGAAATATATCTCCGGAAAACGATGGTAGAAAAAGCCTAAAAAGACATCTTTTAGACCTGCTCTGTCTGTGGTCACTTAACCTTTGCCGAAGGTTCAAACAAAATTATATAAAGTGGAATCCAAACGTGGTGGAGGTAGCCAGTCGACAGCTTTAGCACCTTACTGGGTAGGATTTATTTTGACAACCTATCCACTAGAAAGAGAATCAAAAGCTGCATCTAATATCACTTCGAACATCCATGAACCCCGTTTTTGACTGATTTGGCGCTCGTCAAAAAGTGCGAAAATACTTTTAGAAAGCCTAATATTAGGTTACAGAATTTTTTCAGGTTGTGATAAGACTTGGAGTTGCTTGCGAATGCGTTATCCTGCCTATAAAAAGACGCATTAGCAAAACGTCAGTCAATAAGAGAAAATGAGAGCAGCTTATACTTCAAACGAATGACATTCAGATGGTTGCTTTCCTACTTTGTCTCGTCAGCCAGCTTACTTATATTATTGGCAGGAATGTGTTTGTGGTAATATCATATCAGATCAAAAGTTTGAAAAATCCATGGAATCTTATGCATTTCCACTTCGCATGGATCACTCTACCTCATACTTTTGAAGTGCTCAAGAGAGCGAAAACGACGAAAAAAAATCAAGAAGGTACAGATCAACACACACCATCGTCCAATGACTGATGCCTTTGTACAGTATGCAACAAATGTATCTGAAATAAATGCAAACCAAGGCATAACAGAAGTTTTTATGCTTTCAAGCTGTCTACAACTCTTCTGCAAAGCTTTTATTTCCTATCAACCAGCCCAAAATTCTGCCAATATACGCAAAGTAAAGCTCAAAATCGAGTATCAGGCCACTATTTTACTCCTGCAAATCGCTGCAATCATAAAGATTTTCTTGGTCGCTAGATTATTGGTCTTCAAAATCTCATATAATTCAAATCTCATATAATTCAAAGCCATTAGCGTCACGAGCAGCACATCTCATATTTCACTTCCATCAAAAATCTTGAAGCACTTCAACATCGGAATGCTCTTGTTCATTCTATATAACACTTTGACATTATTGAGGCAACAATAAAAAAGTTTAACGAAAAAAAAGAAAGAATAAAAAATCATTTCACAATTTCATATCTCACAATCAAGTAGACCACTAACTTCCTGTTACTTGAAGTTTATATAAGGCAAGAAGTGCCAGCCTTCGCCGCCTTGTTTGACAGAGGTAAAAATTTCAGAATTGTGGAAATAATCAATCAACCAAAGAAAAATTACTGTTTATAACAAAGATGCAGAGTATTGATCCATATTTTTGCAATTTCACATTTTCTGCCCCACGTATACTCCCGCTGGCTTTATACTTTAGCTTTCTGAGAAAATCATTTGGTGCAAAACCACAATACTGCCCATAATTTGCAAAACCACCCTAACTTCGCTGGAGCTCGCCCAATTCGCGTCGCATCGCCATATCTGGCTATGCAGGGGAGTATCGTAAATCGAGATCACGACTTCGCTTAAAGCCACCCATCTTTTGAAATGGGGAAGTGCCTGTTTGGATGCAGTAGGTATACGGTAGGTAAGTCCAGAAACGCTAATTGTAATCAGCACCGTGATAACTATCGTTATCGCGGTGCTGATCCGAAAAGTCCGAAAAAGAATCCGAAAGAATTTGTGAAAATTGGCAGAGAAATGGCTACCTACCGGATAGATACCGTACACTTACAGGCATTTTATACATAAGAGAATGCGCCTCGCTGAGCTGAGCGTTGCTGTTGAATCTAGTAACTGTGAATGATATAAAGAATGATATGCTTTTCCTGCCTTCTGATAATTTCGTACTGTGTTCATTCTACAGCACTGATTTCAAGCCTGAAGAATGTTTACATGCGAGTCTATTTGCTGGCGTCCTGGGAACAATGAAAATCTCCCTTGCTAGTTCTATGCGAAATATAAGTAATAATTAATGCCATGTACACAATACAATTCCTAGATTATTTGTGATGTGATTTGATTGTTATAGTGAGACCTGCCTGTCGTGCACGGTACTTCCCTGTTGGTTACTAGCAATAGCGTTTAGCTAGCATCTCACGTTTAATTCACATTCACGATAAGAAAAAAGCCATGACTCCGAAAAAAGTTTTTTACAAGGTTAATAGAAATTTTAAAATTTTTTGAATAACATGTTAAGTAAGCATAGGCATAAGCAAGTCACTTGCACATTTTTTAACCCATGTAAGTTACTTTCAAAAATTTCGTTATCTTTGGGGGAGGGCCACCCCCGCCCTCTTGGTCCGCCACTGCTGTAATTTACCTAATTTCAACAAATTGTAGCTGCTTCTTACAGTGGGAAATGTAGTCTGCGAAGTAGATTATTTATGATTATGAGATAGGTTTTCCTGCAAAAAAAGATGTGACTTCTTCTGAAACTTTCGCTTTGAGTTTTCTCCTAACTGAAGCCGACCATATTTTTTCCCTTTTGTTTCCAACTAAATTGGAACCGCTCCAAATCTCCCATTTGTTACTTACGGAGGCAGATTTGCAAGAAACTGGACTTCGTAATCTCTACCCTTACTTCTTCTTAGTTGAACTTACATATTAGTTGTCCCGAAAGTTTTGTCGGTTTCTTTCATCGATCACTGAAACTCACAGAGCATCAATCCACGGGCAAGATAGGTACCATTTGATTCAGATTTTTATCCTCTTTCATACAGCTATATTTTCTCTCTGATCTATCTTGTCTTTGCTATGTTATCGCCATGGCTTTTTGAGCAGCTTAGCAGTAACGCCAAATCTTTCATGAATTTTGAAAATTTTTATCCTGATGATTTCAAAGAGCGCTGGTAATGTTATGTAGAGCAAACCTTTGGCTACATTTTGTTTATTTTAAATTGCATGGGCCACGTTTACCAAGTCCGTTATAATTAATTATTTAATAAAAACCGCGACTTTTTGATTACGTTTACCACGTAAAAGTACCGAAAATTCCAAAAGGCTGCTTTCTGAAGGCAAATCAAACTTGGTCATGCTGCATAAATAATGTTTAAAAAGAATCATTTCTCAATTCGCAGAAATTTTGAAAACTTCCGTGTATTCGCTGCAGTTGTGTGTTTCATGACTTTGCCAAAAATCGAGACCTCTTAAGAAATAATTTTTTTCAAGCTAAAAGCAACAGGTTCGGAGAATCTAAAAATATATTTTTGTAGTCCAAAAATTGCTCTATTAGAATCATGCTTAAACATTTCAAAAACTTTAGAATGAAATTTTTAAAAATTAGTCGAACTTTGAGCAGATAAAGTTGACTGATGGAGATTTCAACAAATATCGAAAAAAGCATACAAGATTGTGGCTCGAAAATGTATCCATAAGAAAGAGAAGAAAAAGCTGCATCGAGTGCATGTTGAAACTCATTCAGGTGTTTATTGTGCGTGGTTTTATAGTGGTTTAAAAAAACCGACAAAACTTTTGGGACGACCTAATATATATGTTAAGAAAGACATCTTTAATGCTATAGCAAAAATCACAAAATTTGTCACCAAGGCATCATTTATGCGGCAGAACAAATGCACGTAACACATGCACCTTTTCTGCGGCAACCTATTATTTTGAGCACATCACATCTCAACTATTGCTCTGCTTGCTCTTGATGGCTCTATCTTGAGCTTGTTATTCAGTCACTTGTAGCTGGGATTGGCCTTCGTGCGAAATTCAATTCGAACAGCCACGGCGTGCTCTCAATATGATTCCTCGCTCGGGCAATTATGATAAGTCGCGCTCTCTCCAAGCTCTTCTTTGAGTGAAAAAGGCTGCTTCTATCACTTTGTGAGTGTTCCTCATAAAGTAACTTGGTATTTTTCCTTTACTGATGGAATCAGCTGAGGCTCTTGACTTGCACTTATCACTCCTCTTGTATTGGGTTGTTACATAAGTTCTGTTCGAATTGAATTTTTTGAGTAAAATGTCATAACTTCTCTCAAAGTCAACTTTTTTCCAAGATCTTAGTTTTCTTTTGTTGGGCAATTCCTTGGCTATCAGGAACATGTTGAAACCTGCGAAAATCCTTGTTAAGGAAGAAGCAAGAACTCAAAAAATTCACAGCGTTTTTCTTCAGACATGTCTTTTTTGACATGGCAGTGCTCCCTTATGAGATAGGCATCTTATCTGGACAATGGATAGATAGAGAAACTTTCGTAGATTGTTTTGCACTATAAAAGAACCCAAAGGGTCTGCGTTGCTGAGAGATTTTTTGACCGAACAAAAAATTAGCCACTTTTTGACCTCGCTTCAGTGCATGTGGCATGCCTATTTACGAATTATGGAAATTTTACAATTGACGTAAGCGCCGAAAACAAATTGGTGAATGATCTCTGCTAGCCCTTGCTTTATCCTAGCATCTCCAACTTTGAAGTCGTCGGTTACTTCTACTCGCAGAAAGTTATGGCTTGTAAAACATCTATACAGAAAATAAGTGTTTGGCAATAAATTTTGCTAGCACGACTTTTCTCCGTGAAACTAAACTTATGCGTATGCTAGCCTGTTGCACCCTTACTCCGCAACCAATGAAAGAACT